CAGTAAGTCTCCTGTAACGTAGCTGCTCCCACAACAATTGAATGCTGCAGGGTGGAGTCGTGGAGAACTCCGGGTGGGGCCTTAACAGCAGCTTAAAATAGACTAAAGTGTCAACAAATACACCTTCTCAGCTGTCAGCATTCAGGTGTGGATGCTCTTCATAACAAAGAAGTCACAATTAAAAAGTTATTTCAATGCAACGTAGAAGTCTTTCACAATAATTTGAAATCATGAAGCCGGAGCCTCCTGTTGAAGGTGGAACTTGAGACTTTGATGTGAACATGGTGAAAATGGAAATACTCTTTTAAAAAAAACATACATTTAGAATATACGCAGCAGGTTTGGAAAAGCCAACAATGCAACCTAAGAGCAGGCCTCTGATAAATAAAAATACAAATACAAGTTTATTCATGCTGTCTAAAAACCTCAACACTTTTCAATTACAGCTTCGGGATCGATATTAATTTTGGGGGTAAAAAAATGATCACCAGGCAAAGCATTGATATATTTTATGAAACTATAATTATCTACAAGTCCAATGAGAAAAAAAAAAAAAAAAAGATGCGGAGGTCGAGCTGGATGCCACCCGATGCCGGTCACAGTTAATGCACTGATGTATAATGCATCAGTCCTGCTTTGCGTCTGTCTCAGATTAGTAAGATGATCATAATAATGACACAAAGACAGGCAGACACACACACACACACACACTAACACACACAGATCTTTTATGTCTACCAGCATGGAAAGAGCAACTCGCAAAAGTCATCTTAATAATGACACCACGAAGACGGTGCGCCAACATAACGCAAAAAATACCTGACCCAACGACACCCTGCTGCCTGTCAACCAAACATGAACGATCAAGCAAGTGAACGTCATTTTTATACCGCAGTGAAATGCTCGTGATAATGTCTGCTTTACTTGACTCTCATTATCAAGATCACATCCCAGCATTCGTGGCACTTCTCAGAACGAGTCAAGTCCCTCACGCCAAACCCCGTAAGTGCTCACGACGAGACTCGCCAGCAAACATCCTGGTGAGTCAAAGCGCCTTTTGTAATTAGCTAATGCATAGATACGATGGTGACTCATGGTGGCTGTAACAGTAGGACGCATGGCATCTCATGGGTGTCGACTTGGAGGATTATTGTCTGATCTCTCCAGAGACGCAGAAATCTAAAACCCCTTGACACGAATTAGGTTAAAGTAAAGTAATAGTAGAATTCAGGGGGCTTCCTTTGTCAAGATAAGATAAATAAACGCTGTATTTGGGCGTCTTAACAACCCAAAGAACACCAGCCCACTCTGTTCCTTCTCTGTCTCTAAAAGTCTTAAATTCTAATTGAGGACATAATGTAAAAACATTTACCAGACTTTTCTTCTTTACTTTTTAAAAGACCATACATTTAGGCATGAACCACGCACTCTGTGTTGGCGACAGCACCGATCATGACTGCAAGACGGCCGACCTCTGAATTATTGAAGCAATCATCAGCGAAGGCAGATTAGATTGCACTGGATGCTATTATCCCTCTATGACAGACAATAACAGAGCATGTGTGGAGGACTGACAGCCTCTTGTAGCCTGTTGGTCTGTGAAATGACGGCATTGTGTTGAGTTTCCTGCTATAATAAAGCAGCCAATTAGCAGTGACTTTAGATTATCAATATTCAGGCTGCGCATCTCTGGAAAAATAAAACATTCAAAAAAACGTCCTGCGCCAGCTTGTGACAATTTGCTGCTCTTCTAATTTTTGTAAGAGTAAATTCAGTGAGTTTTAGACCGTTTGAACAAAACAGGCAATTTAACGGCACTGCATGTGTGTCTGGTATCTTATAAACCAAATGATTATAGTTACCAGATGACCCGATAATGACAACAGCGGCTACCTTTATGTTTACTGATTTGTCTTTCTAATTCAGCGGTTCTCAAACTTTTTGAGCCACGACCCCCAAGATAGCATCCGTTTGTGTTCATGACCCCCCAGTTTGAATTTTTTTATATCATGAGTAATAATCCTGTTGTTCATGCGTTAATGAGTTAAAAATTGTGTTTATTCCATGGATTAATCTCTTTACATTAACATGTTAATTTTCTTTTGAATTAATTGAATTTATTTCAAACAAACAAAAGGGAAAAAAATATAAAAACAAAAGAAAATAATTTTTAAAAAAGAGCAAAAAAGAACAATAATGTCGCATAATCAAATCAGAATATTAACAAGTTCAAAAAAGGAGTGGGAAGAAGTAAACACTTTTAATTTTGACAGCCCTGATACACATTTATTTTGATAAATGTAGGCTTTACTTTTTTATTTATTTATTTTTTTTACAATGATCTGGCAACCCCCTGAAATTATCTTGGGACCCCCATTGGGGTCCCGACCCCCAGTTTGAGAACCACTAATGAAGACCATTTTTGAACTAGTACAGAAAAACTAGCAGTTGTCGTAAAAAATATGGAAACCACGGCACTGACAGAGACAAAATGCTGCAACTGTTTCATTTTCTTGAGAATGATTATCAGACCATCTGCAAATCGTCTTTTGTTGGAAGCCAAGAAATCAGGATGTGAAGGTGAGGACCAATAAGCTCACCTGTGACGGCGTCGTAGAACTCATCCTCATTGCTCATCTTCTAGAGTCAAAGCTGACCGGTCGTTCAGGACAGATGTTCAACTTCTAGCACATGTTCCTTTTGGTGGTGGTCCCACCGAGTTCCTCTGGAGGGAGGCCTGTAGGTCGAGGTCCCTCTGGAGTATCACCACCGCAATGTTCGGTCAATACCAAGACAACGTCCCAAACTCAGGTTCACGCTGATTTTGTTTTTAGCAGATGGTTCGACTACAGAAGAATGACACCATGAGATGTCAATCAGCGAATGGGCTGCTTAGTTAATGGACAGCTGATGTGACTTCAGAGTTTGGTTTCTGTGGCGTCGTCGTTGGTGAATTAGTGATCTGTGGAGACAGAAGACAAAAAAAATATTACAAACAATGTTCTGAGGTTTTTTTGTTATTAGCCAAACTAAGCAGGCACAGCACTTTCAATAAAGAAGAGATTAACTGATAACTTTTTATCAGATAAAAGCCGCCATCACACACTGGAATGCAGCACAATGCCCTGATTGATGGCAGCTTCAATCAGTATGTTGGTCAGAGGTCATGAAGCCGAACAGAAGACTTTGTCATGGTGCCCTTTTCCAAGCTTAACTCCCCACAATGCTCTCAACTTGCCAGTAGAGGAAAGCCTGCTTCCACAGGTCACTACAGTAGTTAACAGTAAAAGGCTCCACCGGGTACTACAGACCGTTGCCATGGTGATGGCGGTGCAGATAGACGCAGCGCCCCCTTCAGGAGACAACGAAAGTGAACATTTTCTGTGTCTTGTCTATCTCAGATGTTTAATCTGCAAAACTTGTGGCCACGAGACTTTGCTGGGCGTCAGGACAGTGAACATCGCTGGAACTGTGGCGATCGGCTGTGATGTGGACAAACTACACCAACACGGAGTCCGATCGGAGACTACGTCAGCAGTTACCCGAGAGAGACGGAAGCGCGAACAGTGCGAATGTAAGCAAAGGAGGAGGAAGAGAGCCGGGATCCATGCTAGGCTAAAGGCTAACCCCTCCAGACCAGCAAGACCGTCCTCCTACTCTCCAATGTCCGCTCCCTCCACAACAAGCTGGACGAGCTACGATAAATGTTCCTGAAGAAACGCTCTCTCTCGTCTTGCCTGTACTACGGTGTACAGCAACATGACAATAAACCTGATTTGATTTGAGATAATCTACAACATTTAAAGTGTGTATTATCCAGGAAAATGGTATATACTAAACATGAAATTACTAAGATTGGATCAAGAACAAATGAAACTAGACGTCCTTGAAACTAAGTCAAGTCAAGACTGAGATTTGGAGACAACATCAAAAAAACATCAAAACAAAGCTGTGATTGTTCTTAAACTGAGGACGGTAAAGGTAATACTGGGCTCACTAAATATGTTTGCCATGGCAAGCTAATTAAAGTCTGCATTACATACCAACTACTTACGACACATAATTCTAACTTTAACACATTTTCTTTTATTTCTGCTGCAAAATTCCTGCGAAAACCTTCTCAAACAAAACCAACATGCTAAGAACATTGTGTGTGACGGACCACTGTGATGCTTTTTAACCTCCTCGGTCACCAGCAGTAAAACTTGAGGCGACACAAAAGCTCACCGTCATTCTCGGCTATCTAGGCGACCAGCTGAAAATCTGCTTAGTCCGTCAGAGCGACAGTGTTGTCCATCATGGCCCAGTGAGTGCAAACAGAGAGTTTTCTAGTCCAGTAGTTACGTAATCGGGCCACCACTGTCACAGGCATTCTGGGTCTTTTGTTATCCCTCTGTTTGGTGCATGAGCTCAGCAGAGTTTGAACTTCCCAAAATGAACTTTAAACCCCCAAAATTCAAAACTAGCAAGTTAAAATTTCAACACGCTTGGAACTAGGAGTTGGAAACAGTCACTGAGTAACGACGAGTAGAAGGTTTAGTTTAATTATCGACTGAGGCAGTGAACAAACTGAACTAACGAGCCGAACAGTTAAGCTTTCATACAGCAATTAGAATTTAAAACCCCACAAAGTATACAGCACATGAGCGAGGCTAACGGGTCAATAAACGTGTAAATTAGTCACCAATAAAAGTCAAATTGTTCCACTGTGCTGGCAGTGGATCACATTTTTCTGTTGATTCAAACGTTCAACAGTTCCTATCAGCTATTCTCTGTTTGACTAGAACCCATATGGACGATTTTAGCACAACTACAAGGAGACTAAACTCCTGTGAAACATTTCCTTCGACATGACACAGCCCACATGGCAAATAGGACAAACGCTGACTTAGAAGCTGACTCATTGTTTGCAGCAGGAGCTCAGCGGTCGGTCAGACACCTTCACACAACAGAGCCTTGTCTTTAACACACAATAAGGCCGAAACCCAGTGCTTTATATACCTGACGTTCAGTTACACATGGGCTCTAAACATCAGTCATCGAGGAAATCAAATACAGATGTTAAAAAGTATGCTGGCTTTGAGGGCATATCTGGATAATCAAACATATGATCCTATTGGCAAAAAATAAAAGGGGATATGCTTGAACTGCACCACAAGGAAAATTAGTTTGTTTAACAATTTGTTCAACAAAAATATCAATAGATGTGATGTGTACAAAAGTGAGTAAGTGGCTCCTTTTAGCAGAAATTACTACCTGTGGGAATTTTGCACAATTTATCTACAAATATCTGACATCAACTTGCTGAAATCTTTTGACCACAGTTCATATCATGTATCAAAAAAGTCAACCATTTTCATTGAGATGTAGTACTTACTGAAACGTTTCTGTAACACAATCCATATATATTTAGTTCACTAAAATGTGGGACAAAAAAAAGCATTAAGGTTTCATATCTGAGAAGTTAATCGGATATTATTATTTGCTATTAAGATATTTGTCAGTTACTTAACTGAGTTGCATTGAGTGGCTGGGCTCATTTTTTTAACTAAAGGAAAGTTTAAGATGTATTCATATTCTCTTAACTAATTAGAAAAAATACAGTCGAGACTCGATAATCCGACCCTTAACAATCGGACAACGAACGTATTATCTGACTGACAGATTGGCTACGTTCAGACTGCAGGACTTAATGCTCAATTCAGATTTTTTGTGAAATCCGATTTTTTGCGAGTTCGTTCGTATGTGATCTGCTGTGTGAACTTCATAAGACCCAAAAGTGTCCCGCATGCGCAGAAGAGGACACGACGATGTCACACGCAGTGAGCGTGCTCATTGTTTGCGGAATTGAACATGGATGGTAACGGTGGAGCGTATCTGCCACTCCATCGCCACCGCCACCACCACCACCAATGGTGGAAACAGAAGTGTGACCGCTAACTAAACTAGCATCAGCAGCGAAGTACTGCCTGTGCATTCCAGCCACTTCCACCCCGAGGGTGCACTCCGATGGGGTGGAAGTGGCCGGAGCATGCACAATCTCGACCTCCGTCTTGACAATCCAACAGCCTTGCTATCCGACATAAAAGAAAGTTTTACATTTAGTGTCGGATTATCGAGTCACGACTGTGTATAATTTTGGTATCAGTACTGTTACCCATTACATGGTTTAGTTTTACCAAAAAACTGTTTAAAGAATAGCAGCCATAATTGTGGTGAAATTACTCATTCTTTAAGCAGTTAATTTTAAACTATTTTCAATCAGCAAACACTGAAAATTGTACAGATTTTTCATTCTGATGAGACTCCACACTGACAATAGCTCACCTCAACCATTTGAATGCAAAATAGCAAAGCGTGTAACATGCATTTAGCTTTTGCAGAAACAGAAGTTTCAACTGCTTCCGTCTCATCACAGCTGCTGGACTGTTTACATACTGCACATACTTTGCATGCATATTTATGCAACCCCTAGTAGGACGGTGACAAAACCAAACAGAAGTTTATATCTTGACAGAACTGTGGCTGAGCATCTTTACAATCCATCTACTTTAATCTACACTCCAGTGCAGTATCATCCCCTCCGATAATTATCAAGTGTTTCCCAGACTCAGTTGATTAACTAGTAGTTTTCAGGTTAATCTCTTTTCTCTTTTAGTTGTTTCTAATTGAAGTGTAGGATGTTAACTACAGCTACAATTTATAGAACGACTGTTTATTTAACATCTGCTAATCTATTCAAAATGTCTCTATTCCCTAAAGAAAAAACAGGCGCTTGGTGAAGGTAATATACAGTCTTAAGGCTGAATGATCCACTGCTGTCAACTAAATCTTTACCTACCAGTGGAGCATTTAAATCCCAAAGGAAACATCTGGTTTCATACAGTTGTTCACTTCTGATGGTGGCCTGCTGAAGCTTTCCCCCTTAACTCTGCCTTTTCCTCCACAGTGGACAGATTTCACCTTTGCCAGAGATAGTTAACGCCTTCAGCACACAAATGAACTTTGGCCTTCATGATCGATAAGGTGGACAGAACAGATGACAATCTGGTATTCAGTTGTTCCAGCAGCTCATTCACTGTCTAACCCAGGCTGGTTCTAACAAAGTCTTGATGAAACAGACCATAAACCTACATTACAAGCATTAATACGAACCAGTTTACACAACAAACTGATTCCATTGCAAAAGGGAGTTGACTGATTTCAGTATCCAACATGAGATCTGCACTACAAAGCCTGATATTTCCTGTGTGTCACATAAACCAGGCCACTCCTAAAGCTCCAGATACCTCAGCAGGACATTTTTGAACCCCAATGGGAATAAACTGAACGATTAAACTTGTGCAACTCAACAATGTGAACACAGAGAGACGTCTTTCCCAAACTACTGCCTGTTGCTAAAGGGTGAGCTGGTAGTCGAGTCTACAAGTTGTGATAACCTTTATCACACATATTTCTGTGCATCGGTGCTGCAGCACTCTGAGTTCTATCAATGATCGATAACCATCGCAAGACTCTCTAAAGCCAGAGGTCAAGGCAAGACATGTTCATTTACATGACTTCTAAAGTAAAAAGCAGCCACATTTTACTTTTCTGCAGAAAGTCTCACCTTTAAACTGTTGTGTCAGACCAGGCTGGGGTGTAAAGTTCAACTGAAAGCCACTTATTTGTGACAAGACATTACTGAAAATCTCTGAAGTCCCTTTAAGAGCTCAAACTATATCTTCTGAACCAAAACTGCAGGTCAAAGTGTACTAGATCCAAGGGGAGCCCCGGTAGCTCAATCAGATAAGACGGCGACCCATGTACAGGGGCTGTAGTCCCCGACGCAGCGGCCTTCATCAAATAAAGGCAAAATAAGTCCCAAAAAAAGTGTACTGGATCCTCCTCACTGAATAAAAACCAGCCTTAAAAATAGAGACTACAGATATAACACCAGGCCTGTCTACCTGTATAACTATGAACAGAGAAAACATGGCTGAAGCCTTGATTTGCATGAGTTATTACAGGTTAGTCATTTTCTCATCACTTAGGCCACATTCTGCAGCCCTACTGCTGCTACTGAGGATCCATTCAGACCAAGAATGTCTACGCTTTGCTGAAACTCCCTTTTCATTTTTTAGGATCTGAGATATGAAGCATTAACATCTGCCTAGATGTGCTCCTGCTCACTGAGTGTCTAAGATGATGAAGTTAATTAAACAACACAGTGAGAAAGTTGATATAACAGAGTCATCAATAACAAAACTGCCTTTTTGATTTTCTGCAATAACCTGGCATGGGGGGTGAAAATTCGGACTGATGGGATGGAAGTGGGTGGGATGCACAGGCAGTACTTGGCTGCTGATGCCAGTTTAGGATAGCGGTCACAGTTCTGTTTCCACCATTGGGTGGTTGCAGCGGCAGGTGGCGGGGATTATTCGGATCTCAAAATTTCTATGCGGACACCACCACAACGACTGAATATTCTGATATTCGGGTCCAGCCCTACTGCGTCGGTCGATGCATTCGCTCTCCTCCTCGGTCGCCACCATGCTTCTCGCTCCATACGCATTAGACTGGACGAAAACAACGGCACGGCACGTCTCACTCAAATTTTATCACGATATTTCAATTTCATGTCATTCCCTACCATTACACCGGTATGATAAGGCCCAGCTCTACGTATTAGCACTTAAATATCATAACTAAAATTCATGGGGCGCCGCTATAGCTCACCTGGTTGAGCTGGTGTCCCATGTACAGGGGCTATAATCCCCGACGCAGGGAGTTTGAATCCCGCTCATGGCCCTTTTCTGCAGGTCCTTTCCCCATTCTTCTCCCCACTTTCCTGTCTCTCTCTCGCTCTCTCGACTGCACTATCAAATAAAGGCCAAAAAAAAAGTGGTATATATCTACAGTTTATGATGCACTTTGCCCAGGACACATCACAGTTAACTATTATTGCCAACTTCAAAAATCAGGGCAACTGCCTGCTTGAGGGAAGAATTTACCCAACACTTCCTGGTATGGAAGTCTGTTGTTGTGGTGAGGCCCTGCTTACTGTCTACAATTAAACAACTAAGTTCCTCCTTATTCAGCCAACAATCGGTCTGACTGCATTAAAGCCAGTTTAAAGCTAATCTCATAACATAATGCTTCCAGCCATGAGCCAAAACCAAGCCTGGGAGCTACTCGACAACTCTTATTCTGTATTTAGCGACAGAAAGCGTCATATTGCTGACACCAAGTCTCTGCACTGAAGACAACAACAACCACTGACTTACATTTTAGACCGCTCTTTGTTCACACCCTTTAAAAGCAGATACATCTCCAAAGGTTGGCGTGCAAAGGAGGATAAAGAAGCCATCCAGCTCATAAGAAAATTCCTTTCAATTATGAGGCGACACTTGAGAGAGCGTATGACAGGCGCTGGTTGAGCCGCTGCCCTCGGGCTGGAGCTGGCCTTCTGAGACGTTGAACAGATTCTGCTGCTTTGAGCAGTTTGGGACTGAACATGAGGGCTGCAGTGATTACATTTGTACGCCTGAAAAGAAACAGGGACTGAGAGTGAGTGAAATATCTGGGAATTAATCTTGGCTAAAGCTCCGTTACTCTGATGAATGCCCTGATCTTTTATTGTTTAGCTAATTTATCCATGATTGGTAGAACAAACGTGTCTTTGCATCTCAAAGCAGCATCAACAACTCCAGATGAAAGGGAAACTAAATCCTTCTAATAAGTTTGACTGATTTTTGTTGGTACAAGCTAAAACCTGCTTTGCCCCAAATTGCAGGTTTTGATCTATACTCATATCTTGTGTCTTTAATAAACTCACTTTTTCAATAACTGTGCAGAAAGTAGATTAACACACACACACCCACAGACGGAGACAAAGAGGACCAGCGCTGTGATTGGCTGAAACAGGCTCTCAGATCATATCAGTCGCTGTGTCCTCAGCGCCTGCGAGCCGTTACGTAACCGTGACTGACATGGCACCATACGAGCACCGCAACCACACCGCTCCATACTTGGACAGCAGCCTATCGCCAATAACCTGATGCTGTATTAGTCCAATGGTTACACAAAACACAAAGAAACTCATGTATGTAAGAGTAGATAGCAAGTTTAGGACCAGAACTTTTCTTTTAATAACTTAGGGACTCCTGCATAACATGCATTTACTGTAAAATCTCACACTTGTTAATAAAGTTTAACCTTCTTTTACATTAAAAATATCAAGTGCAAATACATGCTATGCCTCATCACCTGAAACAGCATTCATAAACCTGCTTTTTGTTGGGTTTTTTTGGCCAAGAATGAAAGAAAAACCATAAACTTTTCCAATCATCATGCTAGTCTCATGTAAAGTCAGTGTTGTAAACATCCCCCATAAGGGATCAATAAAGTTTATCTTATCTTAAAAGGAGCAGAAGTATTTCCACACAATAATAAAGCCCGTATCATTGGCGAGTTCAGTCCAAAACAACACAAAACATCATGAAATATTTAGAATATATAATAGAATAACGGGATAATAATAATAATTGTTATGATGACCAAGCTCCAGTTGACAACAGCCCAACAGGAAAGGCCACAATCTGAAGTAAATGCGACAATACAAGAGCATTTTGTTAATGATATTTTGTCCTGTGTTTGTTGCCAATTATCTGAAACCTACCAAAGCTCCATTCACAAGCCTACCGACGTCCGCTGTCCTCCGAGAGTTGCCAAAAACATCCAAATCCAATGGGACGAAAAAGGAAGAAGAGACGAGGCGAAAGGACTAAAAGCGACGAGAGCTGTTGCCATGCGAGACAGAGCCCAGTACTGATACCGCAAACACACACACACCTCTATCTTTCTCTTTGCACACACCTGCCTCAACAGGTGACACACCTCTGCACGCCGTGAAACGCATACCACAAGTTAATATCGCACACACACACACACAATGAGATGAACATCGCAAACTATGAAACAACCTGTACTGATCTCCAATATAATCAACAACAAAATGGAAAGTATAGAACGAAGAAAAGGAAAAGCACCTAATGGAGCGGAACAATTGAAGGAGTGGTGATGCGTGATGCGTGTCTCATCTGAACAGAATCCTGCCCGGCCACACCGGCGGCTTCTCAGAATGGACAGCTGATCCTTTGCACTTTTTCTGCACTTTAGGTCTGTTAATCACTGACATTTCCAACACAGGCCTTAAGACGACAACAATTACACACAGTGTTCAGTGAGACCTAAACAAGCCGGTTGTCTTTTGTCACAATAATGAGACACTGGGTAGAAACGAGGCTCGTCACACCTTCGACTAGCAAAAGTGATGGGCATGCTAGCTAAGCTTTATTTGCTAAGTGGCTTTTTTGAGCACATAAAGAAGAAAAACTCGATGAATTGTGGGAACTTTGGAAGCAGGTGTCCTCCCTCCAAGTTTAAGTCTCTGCCTGTCTTTACCAAACACGACACATAGCGTCACACAATATACCAACACTAGACAGGTATCGCAACATCCTGCCACTAAAAGCCACAGTAGTCACCAATTTGTTAGCATCTGTGTTATGTTTGATAGACCTTGTGTTTCCTGGAGGCATCGAGAGCAAGAAAAAACAAGAGATATCGCTGCAAGAACAAGTGAACAAGAAGCACAAAGCAAACGTATTGCATTATTTTGCTTATAGCTGTCAGTCAGGGTGAGCTTGTGTCTGTTAAAGTTTAATGTTTTAAACCAAAATGAGGGAGTCAAGACATCCAACCTGGCAAAGCATCTCGCTGACAAACATGGATTCAAACAGCAGCAGGTTAGCAACTGAGACAGATAACTGATAGACATCATGTCCTCAAATATAAGTCAAATTAAGTGTGACGTTTTTGTGGCAAACACTCGTTTTTTTGTCATTAAAGTTCGACAAGGCAGTTAATGACAATGATAACTGCTTAGTTTTTCAGCTAACTCACTAATGTGGCAGACATCTCTATATGCAAATGAAGCGTTCACACTGGTAAAATTAACTCACGTTACCGCAAGCCACTAAAATTCTAAACAAGGTTTACAGTAATGCAGATTGACAACATCAGTTCTACATGATCTGAACTCCTGCCGAAAAGGTGAAAGTAGCGCTCACGCTTATCTCCTTTAAAAGCAGCAGGTGGAAACATGAAGAGCTGATCTTAATGAGGAGTTTCTCAGGTTCTGCTCCGATAATCAAATGTATAAACACACTACAGTACAATAATTCTAAATATCTTTGTGTTTTTCCCCCCAATTTAAAAAAAAAAACAAAACATGAATTAAGCTCCTTGCTCTGTCGTACATTTCACCACTACTTACTAGGCTTTTGTTGTGGTTTTGTTTCAGTACCAACATGTTCAGGCAGGTATCGTACTGAAGTCACAATTGTTGTATTGTGAAAACACGACTCACACAACAGTACACCGGTACAACTTTTAGCTGTTGTCTCATGTGCAAAAACACGTACAGTCGTGACTCGATAATCGACCCTTAACAATCCTAAACCTTGCTATCTGACATGACATTTAATGTCACCAATCAGGATGACGGCGTATTATCTGACTGTACAATCCCACAGATTGGCTACGTTCACACTGCAGGACTTAATGCTCAATGAGGATTTTTTTTGTAAAATGTGATTTTTTGTGAGTTCGTTCACATTTCCAGTTACATACGACTTGTATGTGATCTGCTGTGTGAACTTCATACGACCCAAAAGTGTCCCGCATGTGCAGAAGAGGACACGACGACGTCACACGCAGCAAGCGTGCTCAGTGTTTATGGAAGTAAACATGGATGGTAACGGTGGAGCGTATCTGCCACTCCCAGAACTGTGAGCGCTAACTAAACTAGCATCAGCAGCCAATACTGCCTGTGCATTCCGGCCACTTCCACCCCGTCGGAGCGCTCCCTCGGCGTGGAGGGTCCCCCAACCGCACCGATTATTCGAATATTTATCATTAATTGGGCCTGAATATCCAGAGACCACAAAGTGCTATTGGGACCAGCCCTACTAGTTATTATAACAACTATGAACAATGAATATTAACAACAAATGATCCTTCCAGCATCAAGCCCTCCTTGTATCTCGACCTCCGTCTTGACAATCCGACAGCCTTGATATCCGACATAAAAGAAGGTTTTACATTTAGTGTCGGATTATCGAGTTACGACTGTATTTTGTCAAAAAAATCATGTTTCTTTAGATACAGTGAAAAGAGAAGTAGTACGAGACAAAGAGACTGTTTACTGAATCAGCTGAGTTCAGTTCACAGACCGTACAATGAAACTGCATTCATAAGATCTCCTACACATTATGTAGGTGTCAAAATTCCCCAGACGTCATGCTGCAGTTTTCTTTTCTTTTTTTTTTACCAGTTATCAATGCATTTACTTCCACGTCCCAACAGCAGATACTGTTTGTCATTTGACAAAGTAAAGGCTTCAGGTTGCAGCATGAGCATCAGGGTTTGGATGAAGGGAAGAGGGTTTGCTGTGCCAGTCTGAAAGAAGGAGGCACGATGTGAATGCAGCCTGAGAGGCAACGGTGGGAACAAGAAGCACAGACAGGCCACTGTGTTAGAGGGAGTTCAGCACAGAGCAGCATTCTGCAGCCAGTGCTGTCTGTGCACTAATTTGTGCTGCAGAAAGTAAAAAGAGGACCGGGGAGCTTACTTTGAAGAGCAAAATCGCTATGGAGATCTGAGCCTGCATCGCTGTAGAAGCAGCTGTAGGTAAACGAAAGCCAAAAATGTGTCCCACGCAACTAGAGCCTTGTTCTTCAAGTACCTCGACGTCTAGGAAATAACGTGACTGAGGTCGGCAAACATAAACTGAGTTTAATTGTGTTTTTGTTCCTGACACTGGGCTTTACACAGAAAAGACACCTTGAGCTGCAGCAGCGTTACAGACTGTCTGTAAATGTGAAAGTGACAACCTTTAATTCCAGACGGAGTTACTGTATGGGTGAAAGTGCGACTGGTTGTGACGATAACATTTTATAATGAGACAAAAACTGCTGCAGGGGGAAAAAAAACATCAGTTAAATTACAAAACAGTCCCAGAAACCATTAATTTTCTGTCTCGGACTTCCTGTTTTCATCCCAGCCCTGAAGAATCTCTCGACCATCTGGACTAAAGCTGCTCATAATGTGCGGCAGTAATACATAAAGTAAATTTCAGCGCTATCTGGCAGCTCCGGCAGAACATCACTCACCGTATATCGCCCATAATAGGACACATTAGTGCTGCCTGTGAGCAGATAAATGGAAGTACATATCACAAGACCGAGGCACAGTTTAAATGTCAATAACCCACAAACGACTTTTTATTAGAGGGTGACCGCAAGTATGAAATTTACTCGACTTCAATCATGAGACCAGCCTCGTCGAGTCGATCCACTGACTGGAGCGGTTTAGATAAAGTAAGTGCTAACGTCAACAGCATCCATCGCGGTCTGCAGAGGGAGGACCTGCACCGCTGGACACAGTAGCGGCTGCTCAGCACAATGGAAAAAAGGTGGGAACAGCAAAACACAGCCGGCCTAATCACCTTACATCACACACCGGTGCAGCTCGAACCAGAAGCTGCAGAACTCTGCTCACGAGAAGCAAAGTGAGAATCTCGTCTTGTCTGTTTCCATCAGAGCTTTTCATCCCTTTGTATCTAGAGCCTCGTGCAACCTCCAGATTACATCAGTCATTGGGCCTTGAATGAGGACAATAACCGAGAACACCGTCCTGCCCAACGACACATCCAAACAACGTCAACGTTTCAGTTTCTTAGCAAGCATCGGTAACCACAGCAACTGAACTAATGACAAGGTCAACGATGGTTATGGTTTAGAGCCACTGCATCCTGGCAACAGACTGAAGCTCTCTAATTATTTCATTAACCCTCTGAGCTGAACAGTTTCTGGCTGATATTAACTCACTGTGGGCTCGTTTTTCCGTCTGTTTTTCAAGTTCTGCACCAACAATAGCAAGAAGGGGATAGAAACCAAAAATGTAATTTCTGCAAGAGTCCACGATTATAAAGCCATTAATCATAAAAAAGAAAAAAACAAAAGTTGAATTTCTTTCATTATTTATTTGGCTAAAAATGTAAAAACCTGGAATCAACTTATACAACACTTTCTAGGTGTGCCCAACAGTAGAAACAAACACAGTGACTCCACACATACTAGAGATATTTTCACTATTACCTTTTACACTCGTCTTCTATCTGCTCTGCAGTTCAGCCAAAAGACTGAATTTTTTGTCACATAACCACAACAGAGACACTAATGGCTTCACGATTGTGCCGAGGAATGTACAATTGTTTTGTTTTTATAGAGTCTGATTAGAGCAAACATGTAATTTTGGCAATATTTTAAACAAGACATGTTGAATAAAGTCATTTTGATTAAACATCACATTTGAAGCTTAGATTTGGAGAATAGTCCCCCAAAAAATAAGTTTAAAGGGCACAGAAAAGTTAAAAATCTGCCAATTCTTCCTGTTTTTACAGTTTCTGCCTCTGATAAATAGCGGCAGTTTGGTGATTTTTTGAAGGATTACATACTTTTCAAACCTGTGAGTGGCTTTTGGGGTTCAGAGGGTTAAAAGTTAACACTTAAGAATGAGGAATTATTAGCCAGGAAAGACAACTGAGCATAAATTTGCACAAACAAAAAGTCTGACTAGCACTGAGATGATAAATTAGTGGTGTAGTTTTACAAGTTTAGCTTTCACAGCAGTCCTCTGTAAACAATTAGGACCGGACAGAATCAAGCTCGTGGACTAAAGCTAGTCCCAGTACTCCCAGTAGAGCTCCAGTTACTTTTGCCGTATTTCAGATCTCAGCTTAAACTGCATGCAGAGGATTGTAACGCTCACTTCAAGAAGCAACGAGTCTGTCTGCTTCACATTCTTTCTACTTGAACTCCT